GAAAATATCAAAAAAGTAATCGAACGAGAAAATATAAGTATTGCAACTAATGAAAAGAAAAATGAAAGTAAAGAAATTATTTTGTCGCAAGAAGAAAATATGCAGATAGAAATTACCAAAACTATAAATAAAGCAGAAATAAAAACAACAGAAGAAGAGATGCAGATAGCAGATAAGTTAAATAGCTAAGAAAAAGTAGAAGGAATAGAAGAATTTGAGACTAGACAAAATGAACAAATAAATATAACAAGCGAGAAAGAAACAAACATAAATATGATAGAAATAGAAAACAAAATAAACGAAGACAAAACAGAATACCCATGCAAAAAAAATATAGAAAAAGAAAAAGATGTAATAGAAGATACAATAAATATATCACTCAAAGAAAGCATATGGGTACCTAGTAAAGATAGATGTGAAGAAAGGAAAAATATAAAGGCAAAAGTAGCAGCTATCAAAGTCTTAGGAGATAACAAAGAACATAGAAAAAAGTCTCTAAAGTAGTCTATAGGAAGGAACATACATGTCAAAGATATAAGTGAAAGATTTGAGAAAAGGAATCTTTAGTGTATTGTTAGGTTTTGTTGTCAAAAAGGCTATGAAGAAGCAAGATTTACATTAGAAAACAAAAAAGAAGAATACGAGCAAGCTAAATTCATAGTAGAAGAAGAGGTGGAAGAAAAGATAAACAAACCAATACAAGAAAGTTACAAGAAGGAAGATGAAGATTATAAAGAAAGAATTAAAAGAGAAAACTAAGCAGTGAGAGAACTAGAAGAAATTTTTAAACAAAGAGAAGAAAAAAGCAAGATAATAATTAAATAGCAAGAACCCTTAAGAAAAGACAAAAATACATCAAAACAAGACAATGAAGGAGTACTACAATTAGAAGAAAATAGTAACAAGATAACAATTTGGGATCTTCTAACTTGGACGAAAAGAACTCAAGTATTTGAAACAGTATGCTTCATGGAAAGAGTTGAGCATATAGAAATAATAAGAACTATATATAATAAGACAAGAGCAGAAGTCAAATTCAAATTAGAAATGTACGATGAGAAGAAAATAGAAGAAACTTAGTGCTTACCATTTATAGATTAACTTCTAGTAAGAATAACACTAGGTACTAATAACCAGAATATGCTCTATGAAAGAAGCAAATATAGTCTAAGGTTGCTAGACTTACCTGAGAATACAAATGAAGTATTCCTATGAAGACAAGTTAAGAAAACAGGAGCAAAAGCACTTCATATATTTAAAAACTCAAATAATAACAAGATGGGAAGTGCAATAGTTTATTTTAAAGAAGAGAGAAAAGAATAACAGTAGTTTATTATATCTATATAAAATCAGAGATTTCTAATTAGTTCTTGTAATCATATGATTTTGTATAATAGTACTATATTACAAGAGTACTATATCGCAAAAGAATAGATCTTAATAAATTTGTATTTCAATTTATTTGAGTAATGCTAATTAAAAGTATATTATTCTCATTAAGCTAGTCATATTTTAATATAGAGATAATAGTACTTTATTAGCTTATATTAGGCAGTATAAAAAAAATAAATTGATTTTCATATCTTAGCTAGGTCAGAATTGATCAGAGTTAAAATTTTATTTTTATGCTATAGTAGGTAAGCAGCCAATAAGAATGCATAATTTTATTGTTATAAAATAGGATTGTAGTGAATGTATTTTTATTTTATACTTATAAAAAATAAGAGATTTTATACATATAATAAAAGATTTCTAAAAACTATCTGATTTAATTATTTGTTCAGTGCTATTTTCCCTTTTTGTTCGTACTTGGACTCCATTTATAATGCTTTAGTAGAAATTTTCTATCACATCTAGCACATAATAGATGTTTACTTTTTGAAGGATTTGTTACATTTCTATTACTACATAAAAAGCAAACAGGAGGGAAGATTCTTGCTAAATAGTAGAGTTTTTCAATTGGAGATGCACAACTTCAAGAATCATTTACAAAGACACATTGAAAAAGCTTGTAGATAGAATCATCCTTTATAAATCTATTTTTAGATTCACTAGTTTCTTTGTTTGCTATATAGCTTAAATCTTCATTAATCTCTGTATTTCCTATATATGAACAACTAGCTCTAGTAATCATATCATTTTGTTAGATTTTATCTTGCTGGCTTTCAACTTGTGGATCAATTTGTTTGTCATCACTTAGTTAGTCATCACTTAGTTAGTCATCACTTAGTTAGTCATCAATTAGTTAGTTGTCAATTAGTTGATCATTACTTAGTTAGTCATCACTTAGTTGGTCATTACTTAGTTAGTCATCAATTAGTTGGTTGTCAATTAGTTAGTCATCACTTAGTTGGTCATCATTTTGTTGGTCATTATTTAGTTGGTCATAGTTGTTACTTAATTGGCTATTACTTTGTTTATTGCTTTGTTGGTCATTATTATTCTCAATATTAATAGTATTAGTATTAATGAAACTAGTGGAAGCAAGATCACAGGTATTATGAAAAGATATTTTGTATGTATATAAGATTGTGTCTAGGAAAGATTCTAATATTTTATGCTTTTTTTCTATTAATTTTTTTGAACTAAACAACAAACGCAGTTTCTCATATTCTGAACAAGTAACAAAAATTCCTATGTTTCTTGTATATATAGAAGAAAGGCTAAACAGCATAGTATGCTTTAGATTAGATTTTACTTTACCTAACTTAGTAGATCATAATTTAGTATTTTT